GGCCGGGGCGGTGGTGGAGGCTGTTGTCGGGTCTGCAGCCGAGGCCGGCTGTGCCGTCGGTTTGAACGCGAAAGGAGAGGCCTTCGCTGGAGATGAAGCTGCTGTCACGCTGCCGAAGATAGGCTTGAACATGGTAGCGGCCGCAGATGTGGAGGAAGGGCCTGGGCTTGCAGACACAACCGCAGCAGAGACAACAGTCGTACAGGGCGCGGGGCTCTCGCTTTTCAGCGGGGCTCCAAAGATGGGTTTGAAAACAGGGGTTGTGGTGGTGGGGGCAGCAGCAGGCGCTGTGGTTGCTGGCTGGCTGGCCGGAGGGGTGCTCAGCATCCCGAAAAGGATGCTTGGCTTTGGAAAGGAGGAAGGTTTGCTGGGGGTCTGGCCCAGCTCTGTGGATGAAGGACTCGCCAGGCTGCTGGCAGGCTGTGCCCCAGAGGCAGGAGGGGCAGACGGGGCAGTTATGCTTAATACAGGCATAGGTTTGGTGTCAGCAGAAGTCACAGGTAACAAGCTCGACTCCAGCGATGCAGGTGGAGCGAGCAGCTGCAGTGCTGATGAAGATGGTGGAGACACCACTGTAGCTCCAGAAGAGTCTGAAAAGGGACAGAGAACTGATTTAGAGACAGGGATCATACACAGACAACCCTTCTGCCAACAGCACCTCCCCACAGCAGACAGCCCGAGCCTTCCACGCTGGCACAGCTCCCAACAGGAGCACGGAGAGCCCCTCCTGGGGCTTTCGTGCCCAGCTCTGCTCACTCTCTTCTCCTCACCTGCCGGCACGGGGGCAGCCTGGTTGCTCTGCATCTTCTTCAGGCTGTCCAAGAGGGATTTGTTGCTGGCAGGTGCAGTTGTTGCCACAGGCGCAGGCCCTGGGGAGGTCACTGTGAACGCCAGCGGCCGGGGTTGAGGCGTAGTCTCTGCAGTGGTGCTGGGGGCAGCATCTGCTGGAAAGAGGCAAGAAATCAGTGTCCGTAACACACTGCAGGGCATTACCTGTGAGCAGAGCTTCCCTAGGGGCCAGGAAGCTGCATGAATATCCCACAGCTCTGCAGCTGGAAAGCCTCACCCATCACACTAACTCCCTGCAGACTCTGGGGCATTAACAGCATTTCCAGCTACAAGGAAGAAGCAGGATTCCCTACAGAGGCTCCCCAGCCTGCATTACACAGACTCCCCACTGCCCTGGCAGCCCCACCTCTGGGTTTCCAACTCAGCTCTGCTCCTTGCTGGCCCCTTTGTGCTCCCAGTCTGCCCAGGGGCGCAGTCCTTACCAGCCTTATCCTCCAAGACTTTGTTGAACCACTGCAGCGCTGCCTTCTTCTCCGCATCCAGGTCCTCCGAGGTGATGGAATAACCCAGCTGAGGCGGCGGGGGCTGCCAAGAAAGAGCAGCAGCTTAGCTTCTTCCCAGGGAAGCTGGACGAACCTCTCTGAGCGTGTGGTGGAGTCAGGCCGTTGCAAGCCCCTTGAAGCAGCTGGTTCTGCCACAGCACCTCCCGCGGAGCTCCAATCCCACCTATTCTGCTCCCCGGCTTGGCGCTGAGGGCACGGCAGGCCTTCCCCAGGCCATTACCTGGTCCGGTAGCAGGCAGCACAATCACGCACAGCCCACCAGACACTGGGGCTGGGGATAGCGTCACTTCCCACTCCGCCAAGGACGGGGCCTCCTTCCTGAGGGCAGGCAGGTCAGTCTCCCCCCAGCCCTGCAGAAATTGCAGTGAGCACATTCTATCGCCAGAGGAGGGCACGAGGGGCTGCGAGACAGCGACGTACCAGAGCGAGCTGATCGCCCCGGCGCGACGACAGCAACTGGATCTTCCGCTTGCGCTTCCCACTGCTTCCCAACACGGACGGAGAGCTCAGGGAATTCTGCTGCTTCCGCACGGGCGTCTCCACCACTACAGAGAGAGACAAGTCAGAACTGCCTCTAGGCAGAGGAGGAACTTCACTCCTATCAGTAGGTTAGTCCCTTCTGAAGGGGAGAAGGGGACTCCTCTCCGGATGACCCAAACTCAGAAGGCAGCAGAAAATGCTGCTGGCCTGGAACCAGCATGTTCTTAATTGCCAGGAGACACCTCAATCGTGCTGCTTTCTCAAGCTGATGACATATCCAACTCCGGCCCACAGCTGGTACAAGCCGGCACTCACCTTTTTCAGTCTGAAGCTCCTTGTCTGACTTCACTGGAGTGGAAGCGTTGGAGCGAAGAGATTCCTCTTCCCTGCGCAGAGGGAAGACAGACAATTAGGGTCAATCCCCAAACTTGGCCTCAATCCCAGAACTAACAGGCCAAACACACTAAGATTCCCACCAGTATCTTTGCCTCAGCCAAAGAAATGGTCTCCAGATAATGTCTGGAGCTGGTGGGCGTTAACATCACTTCCAGGATCAAGGACCAGACAGGACTTCCTAAGGGAGACTCCCCAGCCTGCGTTAGGGGCTCCTCACTGCCCTGGCAGCCCTACCCCTGGGTTTCACAGCTCTGCTCCTCGCTGACCCCTGCAGGCTCCTACTCTGCCCAGGGGTGCCTGTGTGACACCACTGCACCAGCTGGAAAGGAGCTCGAGGCAGACGAGCTGCTCCCATCTCCAAGGCCAGAGCTTGCTCTGGCAACCTGTGCTGCTTCGCAGGGCTGAGGACAGCTTCAGGCAGCATTCAGAGGTCCCACATGGGAAACACCATCTCCCACGGGCCTCTAGGGCTCACCCTTTCCAGACAAATGGTTATGGCGGTTTAGTTCTGACATGTGTTTCTTCCCCATGGAATGAAGTTCTTCTCTGAACTGAGAGAGGAACAAGGGCACAAGCTCTAAACAAGGCACTAAAATGCCAGTGTGCCATCCTGCACAGCATGTGCCACCTGTGAATCACTTTTGATGCTATTACTGCAATAATCAGGGCCTGATTACTGTTATCAGGGCTCTTCCCGAGTTTCAGACAGGCGAGCCAGGCTGTGCCACTGTCACACAACAATGTTACATTTGTGGCAGGCTCTTACTCCTTAAATCTATAACATGGTACTACAGCAGGATAGTGCAGTTCTCAGTAGAGCAGTTCTGCTTCTCCAGGGCTACCACCAGGACCCTGGTGTAGCAAGGTGGCAGGGATCATAGAATCATAGAATGCTTAAGGTTGGAAGAGACCTCTAGAGATCATCTAGTCCAACCCCCCTGCACACGCAGGGTCACCCAGAGCACATGGCACAGGACTGCGTCCAAGGGGGTTTTGAAGATACAAACCAAGAGCAAATCAACAGGGTTCCCACGCGGGCAGGTCACCCAGCAGTCCCATCTTGCTAACAAGATGCTCTGATGGTCCTAACTCCCTCGAGAGGAGTCTATAGGTACCAGGAGTGCTGGAAAGACACGCTGCTCTCCTTCGGCCTGGGGCTGAGCAGCAGCTGCTCCCGGGAAGGGCCGTTAGTTACCTTGCTTTCTTGAGAGGCCACTCCGGTGTCTGGGAGCGGGAGGACGCTGGGCTGGACAGCGGGGACACGCTCACACCGCTCGTCTTCCACAGCTGGAAGCCAAACACCAGCAGTAGTTTAGGGCATGAGATGGGAGAGAGTAAATGTTCTAACCTCCTTCCTTGCACGTTAATGTCATCTTCCAGGACCTGAGCTAATAAGTCCATTGCCCCGTTCTGTTGTATCACCACGTAACTCCTCTCCACATTCAGTGGAGCAAAGCACATCCCGGAGTGAGCACACCTCAGCAGCAGAGCCCCTGGCCTCTCAACAGCCAGCGTGGCACCCAGGGTGGACAAGGGACGACACTGCTGCTCAAAGCACGGCAAACACTCGTCCTCCTGCCTTTGCAGAGCACGGGCTGATGCTGCCTGGCTGCCCCAGCTGCCCATGAATGCACAGGGCCATCTCCTGCTGGCTCAGGGCAGATGGACCCAACACCCCAAAGGCTTTAGGACTTAGTACAGTCAGAGTAAACCCTAGAACTTCCTTGGAGATCACAGAGGTAGCCTCGCTCTGCATAGACAGCAGAGCTCCATGAGCCATGGCTGTTCTGCTGTCAGATCTGTCGCCCTGATCCACGAGCTGTTTTTAAGCAGTGTTTTTTCCCTCCAGCTCAGCAGCTGCCGAGGGGGCTCAGCTCAGAGCTGGGACACAGACCTCTCACACTTGCTGACTCCAGCTGATTGGCAGCAGTTCAGCAAAAAGATTTGTTTCCTCCACCTGGATCTAACCTAAAAGAGCGGCCAGGGCTAAGGAGGGAGAAAACCCAACCACCTTCAGCACTGCAAGAAGGACATCTCAGATGGGGAAGAGCACAGAAGCACGCGCTGAGGGACACTGACATGGCTCCCTGCTGCTGCTGGCCCTGCTGCTTGCCCGATGTGCAACGAGACGAAGCCGCCCGGCCGAGCAACGCCGGGGACTCCCCGTGGTGTTTGCTGCCAGGTACCTGGCAACGCTGCTCTCGTCCTACGAGCCCGGGCTCTGAGTTACCGGGCGATCCCAAAGGAGGGTCGAGCTGCTCCGTGCTGCACGTGGCCCCAGGCTCCAGGGGGAATGTCTGTAAAGCTGTTTCCTACCTGCGCGAGGCCTCGGCTGGAGCTGTAGGAGCTGGCGATGGCATTGCGGACGGAGCTGGGGATCCCGCCAGCGCACGAGGTGTTCAGGGAGCTCATGGAAGAGGTGCGAGACCTCTTGTTGGAGCAGTCATCCAGGCAGTGTGACACAAGACCCCTCTTCAGGGAGCCAGGCCTGCAGGGGGTTATAAAGAGTTTTTTGACCTCCCCACCTGCTCACAGCTCCTGGAGAAACAGGGAAGTTGAGGTAACCAACTCTGCTCTTCCTCACAGCACAGGGCTGAGAGAAAGACCTCAGAGCAGCACAGCCCAAATGCCCCTGGAATGTGCTCAGAGCACACATGGTGGGCAACAGGCAAAAGAAAAGGCCACGACCTCTCCTGCTCTCCACAACTGGAAACCAAGTATGTTTTCCAGAGCTTGCAGAAGCCTAGGGATTCACCTCCCACCTCCCGCCAGTCCCTTCGATGGGCACTTACTTGGGTATGAGAGAGGCAGGGGCACCGTTGGCCACAAGCGGCTCGAATGCTGACTGGCCGCTTCCACTGCTGTCGTGGCGCCTGCGGGGGAGAGGGCAGGAGTATTCGATGGCCAAGAGGTGGCAGAGAGCAGGGGCTGCACGAGCACAGCTACTTCTGTGATCTTCTCCTGCCACCCAATACGTGGGGCAGAGCTTTTCCCATCCATACGCTGCCAGCCTCTCCCAGGCTGCGGATTATTTCCCCACCTAGTCCTGGCCTCGCTCATTCCCATCCCTAGCTGCTTCCTCCCACTGACTGACCGCTACGCAGAGTGGTATTCATTTAATTCAATCTTTCCCCACATCCCTTGTTCCAAGCCAAAAACATTTCAGATTAATTTAGCAGTTCATTCTGAAATCAACCTGACCTCCCAAACCTGGATTTCCCACCTCTTCCTAGCCAGGGCCATGGACAATCTGAGCTAAAAATTGGACCCACCTTCCTACAAGTCAGCTCTCATGACCGAAGTCCGAATGTCTTATGAACAAACCCCGCAGCAGAAGCAGAGGTGTGAGATCAGCCCTGTTCCTTCGTCCACGTGCTTCCCTTGAAGCTCTGAGCAGGCCGACCCACCTGCCCAGGCGGCACGATGATCTCCAGCTGCCACAGGTTCCCTTCTGCCCTCAAAGATCACTGGAATTTTTGCCTATGAGCATTATTTTGGGCTCTCCAGGTGATGAACACCTTTAAAATTCACTTTTGTGGCAGAGTCAGATATTGGTGAATTAAAATAAAATAATAAAAGAGATAATAATAATAAAGGGGAGAGCAGATTCTGCCAGCACACCCGTCCCATGTCATCCTAGAGACTCGGCTCTCCTCATGGTCAGATCCATCAACCTGAGATAGGGGTTAATGGAAGATCTATCAACTGATGGAATGTAAAAATCGCATGACCCGCTGCAACTCCCACTGCAGCAGCAGGAAGAGCAGCTGGGAGCTCCCCACAAAGGGCCAGTCACCTGCCTGTGCTCAGGGCAGCCTCTGAGTGCTGGCCCCAGCGCAGCACCCAGGCTGACGCGCACGGGCAGTGCCCTCCTCCGTGCAAACGGCTCCTCTCCCACCTCTGCGGTATCTGCCAGAGCCAGAGAGGCAGCCCCGGCGCTGATGGCCAGAGCAGGGCACGAGAAACTGCCCACGTGCAGGCGAGCAGAGGGCAGCAACCAGGGGAGCCGGGCCAGGCGGTTATAAAAGGCTCCAGCAGAACTTGGCATCCAGGACTTGCACCCTGTCCTTCCCAAGAACTCTGGCAAAGCAACTGCACCCTCATTTCTTGAAGCTCAGTTCTGGAAATCACTGACCTTGAACTAGGAAAGCAAAAGATAGCCTTTCTTGTTTTCCCTTTTGCTAGTTAATACACACAAAGGTTAATACACACAAAAGAGGAACCCAGAGCTCTTTCATAGCGCGATGCTTCTACACTGGATCTCAGACATTGGGATCCCATTTCTCCTTGAAGACTGGAGCTGACTGAAGGATCAAGACACCCGGATCCAGGATGACATGCCAAGTTTCACTGCTCTGCTCCTGGATGACAAAAGTCTTTTCTGAAAGGCAGGAAACCCTCCAGTGGAGCCTCCACTCAAGCCACACTCCAGGCCTCTCACAACATCCAGCAACACATGAGAACACACCTGACCCATGAGTTTGTCCAGACAGAAATTTAAAACACATCCTTTGACCCCAAGGATGAGGAAGAGCCTTGGAGGAATTTCTGAGGCAACAGAAAGGGCAGGTGGGATCTGGCAGGACGCTCTCTGCAGCACTTGCCCACGCGGGCCGGTGCGAGCGCACAGCGAGCGCACGCTGGGGTACGTCACGTTTGTCACCGCTGAGGCACCAGCCCCATCTACAGCTTTCCCAATGCACGGGTAATGACCTACACTGCCAGTTTTTATTACTTTATTATTATTATTATTATTTATTACCTTCTCTTGCTCTCCTGGTCGTTCCCAAAAGCCTGGTCCTCCTCCTCCTCCTCCACAGCCCTCTTTCTGCTCTCCTTGATGGCATTCAGCACTGTCTCTTTTGCACATGGGTCCAGGCTGCTGTTGGGCGTAAAGGCCATGGGCGAGAGGAGCTGCTCCAGGCTGCGGGGGAGACCAAAGCGTGAGGGAAACGGGGACCCCTCAGGTTAGAGACACGGCGGGGGCAGGGCCCCCTCCTCCTGCTGCCCCCATGCCCAGCGTGAAGGGGGGAAAGGGCTCCCCGAGGCAGCCCCTTCCGTAGCTTGTGACCGCGCAATCCTTCCCATGGCAACAGGGCAACGGGAAGGGGATTAGGGGGTCACCGAGGGGCCGGGGCGACGCTCTCTGCCCGGGC